CATCAGGATTTTCCTTTGCTTGCTGGAAAATATTAGTAGGTGAGGTGTACAGGGTGGGTGCCAGGTGTGAGTGTTATTGCAATAGGTTATGGGGTTAGGAAATGTGTAAAGCGTAGTTTATTGAAGAATAAGTGTGAATGGGCTATTTGAGTGAAGATCTGAGAAAATGAAGGCTTTTGAAAGTGACAAGGGTAGGATTTGGTGAGAGGGAGAGACAGGTGGGATAGGAAAGGAAACCGTCTGAGTTAAAAGGGAAAACAAAGTAGAGTTAGGACAGGGTGCTGACCACCAAGAGAGCAGTTTTGGCATTTCAATATCAAATAGCTTCCTCCAGACGTGTGTTTAAGGGGGAGGTGAGCCTACGCGGTTCTTATGCCCCCACTATTATTTCGATTTGCAGCATATTCTTATATTTGGTAGACGCCCTCAAGGTTATCCAGGTCATTAAGGCATTGCTATATTTTTATGATTAGTAGATGTAAGATCCTCTATCAACATGACATTAACTTTATCTCTCCATAGTGATATGAGGTGGGGGTAGCGCTTTCCATAACACCAAAAATACAAGTCTAAACCCCAGTGGAGGCACAGACAGCAATATTCTTTTTTTTTTTTAATTTTATTTGGATAGTGTAGACGTTCAGAACATCTGCCAATTTTGCTGCATGTATGGCATCCCTGTCTCCGTACGTAAGGTTCAATATTTACCTGGCCCACCCTTTGCAGCTATAACAGCTTCAACTCTTCTGGGAAGGCTGTCCACAAGATTTAGGAGTGTGTCTATGGGAATGTTTGATCATTCTTCCAGAAGCACATTTGTGAGGTCAGACATTGATGTCAGACGAGAAGGCCTGGCTCGGAATCTCTGCTCTAATTCATCCCAAAGGTGTTCTATTGTGTTGAGGTCAGGACACCCCTCCAAATTATTGGGACACCGCTCCAAATCATTGGATTCAGGTGTTCCAATCACCTCCATGGCCACAGGTGTATAAAATCAAGCATCAGGCATGCAGACTGCTTCTACAAACATTTGTGAAAGAATGGGTCGCTTTGAGGATTTCAGTCAATTCAAGCGTGGTACTGGGATAGTTTGCCACCTGTGTAATAAGTTTATCCGTGAAATTTCCTTGCTAGTAAATATTCCGCAGTCAACTGTTAGTGATATTGTAACAAAGTGGGAACAACAGCAAGTGGTAGGCCCACGTAAAATGATACAGCGGGGTCAGCGCATGCTGAAGTTCACAGTTTGCAGAAGTCACCAACTGTCTGCTGAGTCAATATCACCAGTGCACAAAGTAAGGTCCATAAAGACTTGGCTCAGCAAGTTTGGGGTGAAGGAACTTGATTGGCCTCCACCTGTAAAACCGTTCCTGTTTTGGGGGTCGTCTAATTGTTGCCAATCTAGTGCACCTGTTGGTAATTTCATTAACACCAAAGCAGCTGAAACTGATTAACAACCCCCTCTGCTACTTAACTGACCAGATCAATATTCCAGGAGTTCTGTTGACTCGATGCTATACTCTGACTAAAAAGTGTTCCTTTAATTTTTTGAGCGGTGTATAATGAAATTAATAACAGGTGCACTAGAGGGCAACAATGAGACGACCCCCAAAATAGGAATAGTTTTACAGGTGGAGGCCACTCACATTTTTTCCCTACTCATCTTTTCTGACTGTTTTTCACTTCTTTTGCATTTGGCTAGAGTCAGTGTCACTACTGTTAGCATGAGGCAATACCTGGACCCTACAGACGTTGCACAGGCAATCCAACTCCTCCAGGATAGCATATCATAACGTGCCATTGCCAGAAGGTTTTCTGTGTCTCCCAGCACAATCTCGAGAGCATGGAGGAGATTCCAGGAGACAGGCAGTTACTCTAGGAGAGCTGGACAGGGCCGCAAAAGGTCCTTCACCCATCAGCAGGACTGGTATCTGCTTCTTTGTGCAAGGAGGAGCAGGATGAGCACTGCCAGAGCTCTACAAAATGACCTCCAGCAGGCCACTGGTCTGAGGGCCCGATGTCATCTAGTGGCTCCTGTGCTCACTTCCTGACACCATAGAGCTCGATTGGCATTTTCCATTGTACACCAGAATTGTCAGGTCCGCCACTGGTGCTCTGCTTTTCACAGATGAGAGCGGGTTCACCCTGAGCACGTGTGACAGATGTGAAAGGGTCTGGAGAAGCTGTGGAGAACATTATGCTGCCTGTAAGATCGTTCAGCATGACCGTTTTGGTGGTGGGTCAGTGATGGTCTGGGGAGGCATAGCCGTGGAGGGATGCACAGACCTCTTCAGGCTAGACAATGGCACCCTGACTGCCATTAGGAATTGGGATGAAATCCTTGGACCCATTGCAGACCCTACACTGGTGCAGTGGGTCCTGGGTTCCTCCTGGTGCACGACAATGCCCAGCCTCATGTGGCGAGAGTATGCAGGCAGTTCCTGAAGGAATTGATAGCAATGAATGGCCCTCATGTTCGCCTGATCTAAATCCAATAGAACACTGGGAAAGCATGTTTCGGTCTGTCCAACACCGCCAGGTTGCACCTCAGACTGTCCAGGAGCTCAGTGATGCCCTGGTCCAGATCTGGGAGGAAATACCCCAGAACACCATCCATCGTCTCATTAGGAGCATGTCCCGATGTTGTCAGGCATGCTTACAAGCACATGGGGGCCAGACAAACTACTGAGTACCATTTTGAGTTGCTGCAATGAGATTTCAGCAAATTGAATTAGCCTGCTGCATAATTTTTACACTTTGATTTTCAGGGTGTCTTTTGAATTCAGTCCTCCTGTAGGTTGATAATTTTCATTTCCATAAAACTATGGGGCATCCTTACGTTCCTAACACATTACCCGTCCATATCTGATATAGATATACAGCATGATATTTTTCCCCATTGAGATCTGATGTGTTTTCAAAGTGTTCCTTTAATTTGTTTGAGGGTGTGTGTGTGTGTGTGTGTGTGTGTGTGTGTGTGTGTGTGTGTAACATTTTTCTTGGGTTGTTTTAGAGCTGGGTTTTAAGGAAGAAGGGTAAATATAGTAAGCTTTTTCCACAAGACTCTCAGAACACTCACCACTGCTGTGTCTTCTACTGCTGTTGCACCACCATCATTTTCTGGGCTAGGCAAAATTTTTATATTAAAAATGGTGTCGGTGCAAAAGCATTTTGACTTGTCCTGTGTGCTCTTTTGGGTACATAGTGTCCAAATAAAACACATGGGGCAAAGAAATCAAGCAGAATCTATATGGTACCATTCAGGAAACTGAATTTTGACTGGTTCCAATAAGTTTCAAGACCTCATAGTTAGTACACAGTAAGATGAAGCTGATCACATTCACAAATAACCTTCACATTTAGAATGTTGCAGACGCACCAGTAAAGGTGATTTGATATTTCTGTGGCCCATGTATAGTAACACACACCATGATTTTCCTACAGTATTTTGGAGACATCTGTGTTCATTGGTGTAGCTCTATAGTATGGTAAATAATACATCGTATTTTAGAGGGTAAAGTGAAACTCACCTTAACTGAAGAATAATATGGGTTAAAGAAAGGGATGTTTTTGGCGCTTCCTGCTTAAGGAGTGGGGTCCAACTTAAGTATAGCTAAGGATCATGTTTACTGACCTTGGATTTTCTTCATTAACCCAGAAATTTACTAACCACCCTCCATATTTGTTGTCATAGATATATTGGCAGGTTTTAAGCTGGCTGCTGACCTTCTCCTGCTTGACATCCTTTGACTGAATGGTTGAAGGATCTGGGAAGAAAATTGTCAGATGACAGCAGCTGCATCCAGTCGGATATTTTTCCAGCTGCCAGCACTGATTTTTTAAAATACCTTAGCCACAGCAGATTTGTCCATCTGTGCTTTGTAGTGCAGATGGAGGAATCTGTTTAGTTTTTTTTTTTTTTTTTTTTTTAATTTTTTTATGTATTTGTATATGGCCAGCTTTTGCCTTGCAAATAGTCAACTGGTACTTGTCTAATGTCCTCTGGGACCTGTGACTAGTTGGATACTTGTTAGAAACTTATGGATGGGACAGTTTAATGCTAACTAGCACAGATTTTGGTCAAAATGCAATGTTGTGTTTTATTGTTGATTGAATAGGTATGAGGTTAATCCGCCCAGTAAAGCTATGGCCTTTACCATTTCAAAATATTCCGGTTCAAATTGGTTTCAGGAATAGGCTCTCTTTAATTGATTATTTTTCATGCCTATATTTCTACAATGATGCACTCTCCCAACCTAAGTCCCTGTGATGCCAGTGAAAAAAAGCATATATGGGAACTTTAAAAGTTCTCCAGACGACATGGTAATACAATGCATGTGGCATGGGGTCCCCTTTACTCTATAGAGGACCTATCCTCTATTACTAATTTGTCCCTGTTTTTAATTCATGTTTATGTATGCATGCATTGTGTACATGAGCCGTTGCAGCTCACTGCCTGTTTTTGTTTTTCCTTTTCATTCCTGATGTTTTTTACCTTTTCTGTATCATGAAAACTTAAAGAATTTAAAAAAATAAATGCTCCAGCCATGACATTGTGTGGAAGCTAATAGCAGTGTGACTGTGGGGATTATAGTGGCAATATTAGTGTGTGGCAATGACCTGGATATTGATGGCATGGTTTGACGAGACAGGCCTGCAGGGTGTTGAATTATAGTACTATGGTCTACTAAACAGTGCTGACTTGACATTTCATTAAAAACATGCATGCATATCTTGACAATACATGAACAGCAAATGCTCAACTGTGACAATACTTGGGCAACAAATATTTAATTGTAACAATATCCAGGCAACAAGTGGGCAGGAGTTACCATATGTGGGCAACAAATGGGTAGTTGTTACAATATGAACACATTTCCAAGAAAAAGGGTATCTGTACACTTCTGAAGTGTACTGTAGTTCAAAATAAATACACTAACTTTATTAATGTCATGATAGTTATGCTTATAAAAGTGGTCATCTGTGTATTTCTTTTTCAGATCTGCCAGATTGCCCTGTAGATTTGGTTATTCACTGTCTGGACTGCCATGAAAATGCCTTCTTGCGTGATCAGCCGTGGTACAAAGCCGCTGTGGATTGGGCTAATCAAAATCGAGCCCCAGTGCTAAGCATTGACCCACCTGTAACAGACCAGGAGCAAGGAATACATGCCAAATGGTCCCTGCAGTTAGGACTTCCTCTGGCTCTCGGTGAGCAGGCTGGCCGCGTCTATTTGTGTGACATTGGTATTCCCCAAAAGGTGTTCAAAGAGGTGGGCATCACCTATCATTCGCCTTTTGGATGCAAGTTTGTTATACCCTTACATTCCATGCAGGGATGAAATGACGAGCTGGCTTGTACCAGCTATGTTGCCTTAATTCTACAGGCAAAAAACTGCCATTATTCTCACATTCAACCCCAGTGGCACTAGCTGTATGTGCAGGGAAAAGTTTGTGGCCACAAGAAAGATGTTAATATGTCACTGGCATTCTGGGAAACACGTTTGTTATGTTTGTCATTTGTTCCTGCACCAGCCAACCCAGACCATATTTTTAAGGAATATGCGTCTAACAAAGAGAAGGGAAGGAAGTTCCTTTTTATTTTTGTATTGTTAAATTGTCATTGCAAAGACACATCTCTGTTTCTTGTAGCTTTACTAGTTTACTCTGTTCATCATTCAGTCACTTAAGTAATCTTGCATTTACCAAAAGAAGCATTTGGTTTTTTGTGTGTATTTGTGTTGTGTGTGTGGTTTTTTTTTTTTTGGAGGAGAGGGGGGGGGGGATTAGGAATTCACAAGATGTGATTTCTAATATATCCAACACAAAAGCTGAATATAGAACAAGCAAAGGTTTTCACAAACTACACAACATAAATATTACATTTCTGTATATCAAAAGACTTAGGCACCTTTCACATGAATGGTCTGATCGGGTCTACCGGTCGATTTTTCAGGAGGACCCAATCGGACCCTCCATTCACTTCTATGGAATGAATGGATGTAAACAGACTTGTGTACATTTACAAATGCCTACTTCCAATCCAAACTGCTAGAAATTTAAAAAAAAAAAAAAAGTGGAAGGTGATCCATTCCTTTTCCACCTATCGAATTGGAGGGCAGTCGGGGGTAAACGGACAGGCTCTTCAACCAGCCGCCCACAGAGCAGAGCGGGCTGTGTCCATGTCCATGTCCACTCTGCATAAACGGAATGGACACGGACCTGTCAATGGGCCGCTCTGCTCAGCAGGAGATCAGCAGATAGATCCCCCCGCTTAGGATACTAAAGTCAAGTGGAGTCTGCCCCTGCAAAAGGGGCCTAAGGCATATTGGCATCTGCTGTTGGGTAATCAAGAATCTGTTCTCTCAAAGGTGATTACAATTCTTGTGACTTGCTCAGACCCAGATTAAATGGAATTTCAACTTGCTTAATCTTTCATTACTTTTGCAGGTCCCTATGACCTATAAATAAAATCATATTGCCTATTTTTGCTACAGAACCTAAACCAATTATCACTGTTATGTTGGTGGGAACAGCCCCTGCTCCACTCCACACGTGGTCAGAAACTGCCTGTTTGCAGAAATGCATTCTTAAGCCAATGCAAGGAGAAACGTCTACCTCCAATTTCTATGACTACTGAACAACTTCAAAGTGTAGAAAAGTGTTTGGTTACAGCCAGATCCAGCAACCCAGCATACATTTATTCAAAAACTAGCAGAACCACAGTTACTACAGTGCACCCTGAGTATAAAATACACCCTTATGGCAGTTTGATCCTGTCCTTACACCAAAAAAGGAAACCTATTTCATTTCTAAAGAGGCCTTTTTTTTCCTGTTTATTCTTTAACTTGTGTTATAGGGGGATTCCTACAATACTTGTTTAAAAGTGACCTTTCCAGTATTTGTCACTTTTACTTCGAACATCTGTTGTTGTTTGTACCAGTACTGAAAATCTGTAAGCATTATTCACTGATAGAATATGTGGTTTGTGGGCAGCACAGTGGCTAAGTGGTTAGAACTTCTGCCTGGCAGTACTTGGTTCAAATCCCAACCACGGTACCACCTGCCTGGAGTTTGCATGTTCTCCCTGTGCCTGTGTGGGTTTCCTCCGGGTACTCCGGTTTCCTCCCGCACACCAAAGACATGCTGGTAGGTTAATTGAATCCTGTCTAAATTGGCCCTAGTATGTGTATGTATGAATGTGAATTAAGTACCTTAGATTGTACACCCCTTGAGGGTTAGGGACTGATGTGAATGTACAATATATTAAAAAATAAAAAAAGAATATATGGTTTGTGCCATTACTTTGAAAATATTAACAAAGAAGTAAAAAAAAAATACAAAAAAAATCTTACTGCATAATTATACATTCATGGCCAAAAATATTGGCACCCCTGCATTAATGTCAAATAATGTACCACTTTGCCCAGAAAACTGTTGCAATTACAAATAGGCATTTTCATGTCGATTTCTTTTGTTTGCATTGTATGGCACAAAAAAGTGCAGAAACAAAAAGCTAAATCTGGCACATTCCATGAAACCCTGAAAAATAGACTGGACAAAATGATTGGCACCTTCTCAAAATTCTAAGAAATAATTGCATTCCAAGCTTGTGATGCTCCTGTAATTTGTACTTAAACACCACGGTATCAATTAACAGATCTTAATGTTCCTGTGTCCACTGTGTGCAACATTGTCAAGAAGTTTACAGCCCATGGCACTGTAGCTAATCTTCCTGGACGTGGATGAAAGAAAAAACTTTATCAAAGGATTGTTCAAATGGTGGTTAAAGAACCTCGATCAACTTTCAGACAAATTCAAGCTGACCTTCAGGCACGGTATAACTGTCAGCTCACACTGTACATCGCAATCTGAATGAAAAGGGACGCTATGGTAGGAGACGCAGGAGGACCCTACTGCAGACACAGAAATATAAAAAAAGTCATATTGGAGTTTTCCAAAGGAAAGGAAGCCAAAATCCTTTTTGGGAAAATGTGCTGTGGACAGATGAAGCAATAGTACAGCTTTTTGGAGAAGCCCATCATTCTACTCTATTCAGAAAAATCAATGTTAAGGCCTTTAAAGAAAAGCATACAGTCGAACATGACGGTTCACGGATGTTTGTGGTTGCTTTGCTGCTTCAGGCACTGGATGTCTTGACCGTGTGCATGGCATTATGAATCCTAAAGACTACCAAAGAATTCAGGGGTGCAATGTCAGAAAGTTGGGCCTCTATCAGAGGTCATGGGTCTTGCAGCACAACAATGACCCAAAGCACATGTAAAGAAACACCCAGAAATTGTTTAAGACAAAGCACTGGAGAGTACTGAACTGGCCAGCAATGAGTGCAGATCTCAATCCCATAGAGCACCTGTGGAGAGATCTCAAAACAGCAGTTGGGAAATGGAACCCTTCTAAACTGAGGGACCTGGAGAAGTTGGCAAAAGAAGAGTGATCCAACGTTCCAGTAGAGAGGTGTAAAAAACTCATGGAAACAATAATTGATGGTTACAGGAAGCGATTGATTTCAAAGGGGTGTTCTACCAAATATTAAATTAAGGGTGCCAATCATTTTGTCCAGTCCATTTCTGGGGTTTTGCATGGAATGTCGGATTTGGCTTTGTATTGGTAAGACACAAAAAAGTCGGAGAAACAAAAACAAAAGAAAAACATTTCAATGCCTAAACATTTGTAATTGCAACAATTATCTGGGTGAAGTGGTGCATAACTGACATAAATGCTGGGGTGCCAATATTTTATTCAGGTTTGCTGGATACCTGAACCATAGTATTTGGGGATTACCTTCTGTATATGCAGAACCAAACAATATCCAGCAATGTCCTTATGGTATTATTATAGAGGATCTACATCGCACCAACAGTTTGCGCAGCGCTGTGATTACTCAAGAGATGTGTATGTGCTGTGTCTGGCCATTTACAAGATGATGTTTTATGGATTAGAAGGTTTTCTGAATATGCAAGAAACAGTCTACATTGAAATCATAAGTGAGTAACTGGTTTTACACAATTTGTAAGATTTTTTTGAAATCCTTTTTTATAGGCAGAGCTTTGTACAGTAGCAGACCTTTTTTAGATTCTTGTTGAATCTCTAGAAAATGACTATCCAAAAAAAGTTTCACATTTTATCTGTTAGAGATCATGTTAGTAGGCTGAATGCTGTGATGATGATCTTGTTCATTGAGTATTCAGAGCATTTGTTGAATTTTCAGCCAGTCTGTGTTCTCTTTACTGTATGTGTGCGTGCCTAAAATGTAAGGATAGCTGTACTTTTAGGACACATCAGCTTCATTGTGTGTAAAAGACAAAGAGAGGGCGCACAGGCCTAGTGCATTACCTTAAAAATAGGATTTATTAATGAAAAGTAAAATACTCATAAAATGATGTAAAATCAGATAAATACATTGGAAGCATGTCACAAGGGATGCAGAGTGGTACAGGAACCCCTGTGGGTGGTCTGGTCGGAGACTGGGAGCCTCTGGATAGCTGGTGGCTGACGGGTTTCGAAGAAGCGCCTCTTCTTCAGAGCCAGTGTGTGTCTCCTAGTACACAATATGTATGTTTAAGATATTTTAAGTACACAAATTGTATGTTTAGCCCAAACCTTTTCTTTGTCTTAGCTAGAATAGCTAAGGGCTAAAACCCCAATCAGGTTTCTTTGGGTATGTCCTGCTTGGGAGATTTCCTGTCACTTTCTTTGAGGCAACATGAAGTTAACAAATCTCCTAAAAGTAAGGGGAGTTCCCATCTCAGACACTGGAAGAATTCCTCTCCCCGTTTATGACAACTCTAAAATTTAGGATTTCTACATATACTAAAAATGGACACTTTACTGAACCTTTTATACATGTTTTAGACTATCCCTATTTGTGCCCTAGCTGCATTTTTTTTTTTTTTTTTTTATTGTACCCTGCACTCGATGCAATTTATTTGCTATAGGCGTTTCTCTAGATCTGTGGTCTCTAAACTGCGGCTCAGGGGCCTGATGTGTACCTTTTTGCTTGCCTTTATGAGGCCCTTGGGGCACTATTCCACCTACTGATACAAGGCACTATTCCTTCTAATGACACCAACAATGGGGTATGATTACTATTACTGATATCAACAATAGGGCACTATTCCTACAACTGACACCAATGTTATGGAACATTCTTCCCATTGAACTATGGGGCACTATTCTTGACCCAATGGCATGGAACTATTCTTCCCACTGACACCAATGATGGGGCACTATTCCTTTCCCTGATACTAGCAATGGGCACTATGTACAATTCCTTTCCTTGATCCCAATGATGGGGCACTATTTTTTTCCCCTACTACCAACA